CTTGCATTTAAAAGCTGCTCCCCCCCCGCCGCTCGGCCACCCGGGGGAAGGGGGGGAGCCCCGAGTGACCCTGCCCGTCGCATGGGCGCGTTTCCTCCCGGAGAGGTTTGCGTCGTTTCAGGCCTTCCCGGCAGGGCTGCCGGCGGGCGAGGGCAGCGGGGCTGGTTTTGTGCCTGTACCCGCCAGCGAGCACCGCCGGATTGACGGGGTTAACGTGCGAAACTAGTGCAAGGTGCCTCTTAAGTTATCCTGAACGCCTAAAGAAATCTTATCTTTGACTTTATCTTTTCTTTTTTTCGCAATCCTGAACACTGATGCTAACACGGATATGATGTACTAAAGTCGCCGTTTATTGACTGCTGTTTCCTGCATCGCATTTGCACATTTGGCCTCCTTGCTTTCAGGTGTTTCTTTTGCACACAGTTAAAGACTTTAAAGAATTTAAATTGCATATTGTTTGATGAAGCCTTTCAGTTTTGTTAAAACACTTTTTCACCAAAAAGTAACATAACTTAAACTAGCGTTATAGTATTTTTTAAATTTGTTAGTGGTGTTCTCTCTCTGTGCTTCATGAAGGGCTAGGGAAGGAAAGCTGCTCCCTGGTGTGAGGCATTCTCATGGTCTGCGGGGAGGTACAAGAAAATCCTTTTCGTTATGTCGTACACATTACATATGGTCTTTGTCAGAAACCCAGATGCAACAATCAGATAGAAGCTTGAGTGAGGACAGGTACGGAGAGGTAATATTAGTTTCCTAGCTGTAGGGTTCTACAAAATAGGTATTTTGAGAGTAGTCACTATATAAGACTTTTTACAGCATTTTCTGTGCTCCAGTAGTTTTGTTACAGCATGTACCGTGTTCAAGTAATTTTGTTTGTTGCTGAGAAGGGTAAGATCTAACTGGTGGAACTGATAAGCTGCTACTGTAAGTTAAGGGCTTTCTGAGATACTGATGCATGACCTTTTAAGTCTTTACCATGGCGTGTGCTCCCTTTAATGTTTTACCTAACTTTAGCAGTGTATAGTATCTTTGATTTCTTTTCAGCCAAAGTTACGAAAAACCCAAGGAGGGAAGCAAGAGAAAAAAGTTATCCACCCTTACAGCAGAAAAGCCGCGCAGCTCGCAAGGGAAGCACACAAACAGGAAAAGAAAGAAAAGTAAGTTGACTGTGCAATGTCTGTGTACAGACCAAAGGATAGCATCACAGTAGATTTTTTTTGTTTGGGTGGTGGTGGGAGGGGACTGTTATGCTGATACAACCTTAAGGTAAAAGGCAGACCTATATAACAGTACTGCTGTGCCATGTGAACTGACAGGTTTACATTCGTGAAATCAGCTTATACAAAGTATATAGTTCTGCTACTTGATTTTTGGTATTGTCTTTACAAGTTAGGTTTCTTTTTATTGCAGCGTTTTGCTTTTTATAATCTGAATGGCATGGTGCTGGTGATTGCACGTGAAGCCTAGTCACCTAGTTTGACTTTACTCCAAGATATAGTAAGAATCCTGCTTGGGGTCTAGCTTCTTGTGCTGAAGTGCTAAGTTCATAGAAAAGGAAACCCAGAAACCTTCCTGCAGAAGAGAGACTTCTGAATAAAACTGAATAGTTAACTCCTCTTTGGTGATTTCCTGCTGTTCCATGGCAAGTTTGGTTTTCTGCTTTTAAGTTTTACTTCCCCCTTCCACGGAGGGAAAAGATAGCTGGAGAAGACTGGCCTTTAGTTTCCATTCTGTCTCAGCTTGCTAGTTGATACGCTGTGATTGTTTGTTTAGAAAGTTCTTAAAGCATTTTCTGTCAAAGTATACTAGTATATGGATGGACCATGTGAGCTGAGCCCAAATATTCATATGTCTGAAGGTATTAAATTGGGAACTCCTGGTACAGTTGAAATGTTCCTTAGAGACTGTGCAATTTTATGGGTGGGGATGGATGTACAACCTTATCCACAGCAAAGTTGTAAGGTTGCTCTAACTAGAAAGGGGCCCTTTACTAGCATAGCTGTGTCATGTAGCCTCAACCAGAGCTGCTGCACGAATTTACAAGTAGCATGTTTTGAGGATCGGGCAGTTTCCTAATGTGCAAGGAGTTTTCCCTGCTGCTTCATGTTTTGTCTGTGCTCTCTGACTACGGATTGTAAGTAAGTTTTTATTGTAGATTATTTTCCTAGTGCTAAATTGACTACTTCGTCCCTTCACTCTCTCATCTTGCCTCATAACTGCCACTCAGAGCACTTAATCACAAAAGATAACTGAATCATACTTGAGTCTTAGTGCTTACATCTGTGACTTTGCCATAAAGAAAAACATGCACAAGAAAACTTACTGAGTGAAAGAGTGATGTACTGATTATTCATTATGACATGGCACACTCAATCAAATCGTTTAGTGATTGTCTCTGTGGGTAGAATTATACTGATACAGACACCTGTGCTGACATGTCTTGTTAGAGTGCTACTTTTGGTTCCTCTTGCAACAGCAAGAAGTTAAAGCAAAGAACTCCCACTGGAATAGTATTCTCCCATTTAACTTGCTGTCTAATTACTTTTCTTCATGGAGAAGGTTTTAAGGTATATGTTAGAGATAGCACAGGGCAATCTATTTTGTTGCAGGTAAGAGAGTACCAAATGCATCATTCATTTCTCTGCTTAATGCGTTAATATTGCAGTAATTAGGTCACCCTTTCCATGAAAAGGAATGAAAAGATGCTGGCTTTGTACTGACTAGGCTTTGTTACTGAGGCAGCTAGATTTGACAAGTCATAGTATGTAAGAAATGAACAGCTGAAAAGTTTACTGCTTTAAGGATATCCAGAACAGCATCAGGGTGTCTTGGACTACTGGACCCACCTTTGCGGCAGTGGAGTCTTAGTCTTAGTCCACTGCCGACATTGCCAATTGACGTCTACAGAGCAAAATATGGAATCAGAACTGATTTAGGAGCCAAAGGCCACTTAGTAGTTTTGAGCACACAGGGTTCAGTAAATTGGAAATATTACTGACTTTCTAACTGATTCTCTAGACAGATATACTCGTAGTAAGCAATTGTAACACACCTTGTCCTTTCTCGTATGATGATCTAGATGATCTTAACCCTTAAGTTCGGTTAAAAAAAAAAAGTTCTAGGTCCCCCAATGACAGACAAAAAATTAAATTCTTTAATTTATTGGAAGTTTTCTTTCTTTCAGCAGTTGTCACCAAATGTATTAATTTCAAGACTTGCTCATCTGAGAGTTAGTTTTAGTGCCTAGTCTTTACTATGTAGATTTCTGCCTGTGCTTGCCAGAGTAGATTAAGTCTCATAGCTCAGCAAATTACAGTACCAGTCTTTTCTCTGCACTAGCCCCCACGGCTGTAGTTTTACAGAAGATGCTCCAGTTAATACATCGTGGCATGCAGCTCTCAGTTCAACCATGTTAATTTTTTTTAAACTGCACCAATAATTGCAGTACTAAAAAAAATGGATTTGTTGGATTGAACAGCAGTTAACTTCTCAGTGCTGGAGAACCAAGTTACACAAGGATGAATTGAGGGTGTATGTTTAGGCAGTTTATTTCCTATGCCTTGCAAGTAACACCTTATCTTGACTAGCAGTACATGTAGAACAATTGCTACAGCATCTTCCTTCTGTCTCCTAGCACCCGTTGCCACTGGCTGTTGAAGACAGCTAAATGCTCCTTGCCCTTCATTTGGGCTCCAGTAGTTTCCCCTGTGCACAATGACAGGTTAATCCTCTATGAAAGCTTTTTTTGGAGGATTTAAGTTCAGTTCAAATGTTTTTGCTAACACATGTAAGTCTACCATGTTACTTCAGCCTTTCTTTATAAAGTTATTTGCTTTTTAAAAAGGAATTTTACATAAAAGAAACAGACTTATTTATAAATGAGTTTTTTACTTGTTTGAGAGACAGTGGTCTTTATAGCAGTATGATTAGCCTTCCTGTTCTTTCCTCTGAAATGTAGCAAAAGGAGCTAGTCATGGCAGCAGAATCCTTCCAAGTGAAACAAGCAGACTACCTTTTGGTATGTGTCACGGGTTACCTGAGGAAAAAGCGCCATTTTATGAAAAACGATTAAATATTGGCAGCCAAGCAAGCTAATACAAGGTGAGCTTCAAGCAGCCCGATGAAAGAGCAGATGGTTTATCCTGAATTCTTTTGGGGATCAGTGAAGCCTAATGCCTTCACAGAGCAAAAGTGCTTAATAGAGAGAAACTCAGCTTAAGATTAGAGGATGTAGATAGCTATCCTTTCTATTAGGCTATCTTTAGGATGTTGGTAGTTATCCTTTTTGGGCCTCACAGAGCAGAGATGCTCCACAGAGAGAAACTCAGTTTAAGATTAGAGGATGTAGATTTCTATCCATTTCTTTAGGCTCTGTTGCCTTTTCTTTTCCAAGCTCCCTTACTATTTCAAGTGTGAGGCCTCTAGGCTAATGGTAAAAGATGTAACCGTTCATTTTTGCATAGGGAAACTGTTCCACCAAAAGTAGCGTGTCAGTCTGGACCATCCAGAGCACATTGTGATAGCAAAATGATCTGTCTTTAAATAAGACTTCTACATCTCGCAGTTCTGGGTCCTAAACAATTAACTAGTGTTATTCACAGATCTGCGCTTTGTAGATCGCTCTTGTGGTGGTGTTCTAAAAATAATTTGCATTTAAAAACATCCTCCAATTGTCTGTATTCTATTTTCTGTACTGTCTTGGCTTGAAGAGCAATTTAGCTCGAAAGACATGAATAATGTTGATATCTTTTCTTCCCTAGTGTCTTTAAAAGTCTTAAGGGTTCCAGTTTCTTTTGGATCTCTATTATGTTAATGATCAGCTTGTTAAATCTTAAGATTTTTTTTTTTTTTTTAAATATTGGGAGTTAAGCATGTGTTTAAAAACAGTCAGTTTAGCCACTAACCAGTCTTTTTAGTTTAATTACTTAGCTTTCAGTTTCTTTAATATAATGGTGGGGTTTGGGTTCATTTTGCAGAGATCTGAAAAAGACAAGATAAATATCTGATGCTGGGATGGAGGAAAGCTTTCCACTCCTACGCTCAGGAAAAAGAAGTAGCCTGCACCAATTTTGTTCTTCCTCACTGCTTTTGCAGGTCTAGTAAATGTCTTCATTTAGTGGCAGCTGATAATACTAAATAAATGCTCTGACGTTGCTTCCAAATTTGTGACTTAACTACAGTAAGTTTACTGAAGGCTTTTTAACTGGAAAATGACTTACTGAAGTTGAAATATTTGCAGAAACAATTTTCCAAATTACTCCTATTTAATGACAACCCCATTCTCTGGTTGGAAGGTTAATACGTCCTTTGGCAGTAAATAGGAGAAGCTGCCTCGTAATCTCTACAGTATTTTCTTTCTTAATCCCATCTACAAATCTGGTACTTTTTTGACCATGCTTCTCATTGTATAGAAATAAGTTGTCTTAAATGTGGGGAGGACCTAAAACTGGAGGCAGTATTCTCAATATGATCTTACCAGCCCTGAGTAAGGGAGATAATTTCCCTGTACAGGCTAATGCACTTCTGCAGCATGGAAGAACTGATCAGAGACAGTCAATGAATCTAGGAAGTTCATACAGTTCGTCTGTATTTTAATTAAGCTGTGGATTTACTTGCCAGAAGATGCTGTAATTGTGGTTGGCTAAATTTGTGCAATGATACTTTCTGAACATACGTACATTTTATCTGTTGATTACTATTCAATACAAAGGTATTACCTTGGATGTAGAAAGCCCTTGAATGGCATATTACTGGAAGGTAAGAATGTCTCTTGTAGAAGTATCAGTAAATGTCTGCTTTGATTTTGTGTGGTTTGTTTCTTTCGGTTTTGTGGTTTTTTTTTTTTTTTTTTTCCTTTGGTACTTGGCTGGAGACAGGATTCAGGACTAGGGACAGTTTAGGCTTCTATTTAACTTTTTAACCTTTCTATATGATGGAGGAAGAGAAATAACTACTTGTGAACATTCCTGTTTATGTTGAACAGGAAAGGAAATTGCATTTAGTTATGAGATGCATATTCAAGTATCTTTTGCCCAAACAACATAATAACAAAGGGAAGACATTACCCACAAGGAATTTCAATACTTAATGCAGCACTGGGAAGAAGGAGGGAGAAATTCTGCTCTAAGTTGCAGAAGTCTTTTACAGCCTCCATTGTCCAGATACTCTTCAGTGCAAGCATTCTCAATGAAATATGACAGTAATAATAAACTTATTGTCCAGAAACTGGCTGCACTACAAAAGACCAATCTTGACCATAATAAGAGGAGACAGACCAGTTGGTTTTAGAAAACTGACTACATTCCTAAGTCATCTCGTTCACTTGAATCGCACCTTTTTCTTGCCTGCATCCCTCTTCTCAGTTCTCCTCAAGGTCTAATGCGCAGCAAGAAATTCCAGTGTATTACTACCAATTTATTCTCTCTTAATCTACATGTGAATCCTTATTCCTATAGGCAACTTGTTAGCTCTGTTAAATAATTACAAAGATGTTTTTATGAGACAGCAATAGCTGGTTCACTGGCGCCAGTAGAACACTGCTTTTTCTACGCTTTAGGAAACCAGGCCCTAATGGGATATTCCTGGAACTTCTCTTAGTAGTGATGTACCAACACCAATCATGTGTTGTTTGCAACTGCTGACATCTCTGTCTGCTTTTGGTAGCTAAAGCTGATCTAGCACTGGAATTTTTTTTTCTGTCTTTTTCCCTCCCGAGTCAAAATATACCCTTTCTATTGTGCATATATTGTAAATTTTTTAGGAGTCTCTGCATTTTCATTACAAATATACTAGTCTAATACTGTCATGCTCCAAGGTATGAGAACTATGGAGTTTTTACAGTATTTCTTGATCTGGCATGAGGCGACCCCTTAGGAGTAAGCAGTAGCCTTAAAATATCTCCTTGTGGAGCTCTTTGTTTGTTTCTCCTTAGCTTTTCTGTTGTCTAACTTCTTAATCTCCTTTGAGCCACTATGCTTCTAGTTGCGCTGTTTGCAGCAGTGATGCTTTGAGATGTACTCTTGCAGATTCTTCATGTGGAACTGAAAAAATGCTAGCTCTTAAAATTATTTGTTTTGTTCACAGAAATAAAAAAATGAACTGCAAAAAAATAAGAATTTTTAATTCTTATAGAGGGATTTTCATATGGAAGTATCCTAAAATGCTTAACCAAGCCACTAATTGGTGCGTAAGCTAACAAAAACGGACACGTATAGGGAGAAATATGGAAGGTATTTAGCAACAAGAAACAAGGAAACATGTCCTGTCAACCATGATTTTTTTTTTTCATAATGAAAGAACCTATCTTAGTTCTCAGAGCCATGGATGGCATTTGTATGTGTGGATATTATAGGGAAAAATACTGAATTGGTAAACTGATTTGGCAAATATTTATTCATTTTTAGTATTTAGAGTAGAACAGTTGAATACAATCTGAGATAAATAGGCGCTGATGGAGCGTGAAGGCTTTAACCTTTTAAGTACCTAGTAAATATCAAGAAAACCACTGATCATCCTTATCAATAATCAGTGCCTAAGCAGATGATTTTTGGGAGGCAGGTGGAGAAGAAAATCATTAAGAAGTGACAGCCTGCCACAAGATTGTATCCCTATCCTCATCCTCTCTTTCCATTGAGCAAAAGATGTTGCTCATTGTGTGGAAGGAGACAAGAGGAACTTTCTTTGACTTACTTTACTTGATTAGCCTCCCTGCTAATACTATTGTCTTCTAGCAGTCATTGAGGTGAGGGTTTTATGAAAACTACAATAAGGCAACATCTGATCCTATCATTTGTTATTTCACATATTGAAGTAAGTTGTGTACACCTAGAGACTGAAGGCTTTTCTTCCAGAAGAAAATCCTGGTTATATACTTCATTGCCTAGATAAATAAATGATGCAGTGACCCTTGCAGGTGCAAATGCTAGTTTGTAGTGTTTTAAAGCAGACATACATGACATAATTTATGATTCTAATCAGGCAGCTTTTCTAGATGGCATCGTAGTTTTCTCCATGGCAACGCTTTGCAGATGTGCTCGGCTAGCTTTGTTGCCATGCAAGGTTCACAGCAGGGACTGCTGGTGTGGAGTTCCACTCTGTGGAATATGTGTCCTTTTCTTGGTCGCTATTACCCTTCAAAACTCCCTGCTGTTAACTCCTCTGTAGGCTACCTACCACAGTTTTTATTGAAGACATCTACAGCCGAGTTTTAAAGCTGACTTCTAATCTAACTCATTTTTCCTTTCTATTTTACATAGTCTCATCCAGGTCTGTCCTTTAACCCATAGAAACGAGAGTCATTTTTGTTTAAACACTAAAATCTTTTAATTAAATCAACCAGCTTAGGTTTTTTTGGCAGGTATGGTAAAACTCAAATCCCATGCTTGACCTCTATAGACTTTTGCCTTAAAAATGCTTATCAGATGCTGGAGCATCTATAGAAGTAAAAAGGCTTTTCTTGAATGCGTTAGTGGAATTCTTAGCAGCTCACACATGCTGTGCATTGGCTTTTAAGTGGCTTTTAGATGGTCTTCAGAGGATGAAATACTTCTTGAAAAAGCTAATCTTTATTTTAATAATGTAGGTTTGTGGCCAAGTGACACAAGTATGTTTGTCTCTGGAAAGTAGGGCTTTCTCTTTTGATCTGAATTTTTGTGACAGGTGACAGACTTCTGTGCTCCAAATTACTTCAGTTAACTAAAATGCTCATTAAATTCTATAGAGTATAAGGAATTTAATGAAGGAGCATGCTAGCTTTGAACTGTGTTGAATTTTGGCATTGTTTGTTCTTTGTCGATGATATCCTTTATGATTTTCTTTATCCTTTATCAATTTGCTTATTAAAATTGACTTTTTTTTCCTATTATTTATCAGAGGTCCTTGGATATATATACTGAATGTGCATGGCTAGGATATTTTTTTCCAGTGACAAATTTCATACTTAGCCCAACAACGTATTATTTTCCTTTCTGGAAATAAAGTGACATTCAGCAGCATTCATTGCTGCAGACTGAATCTGAGAGCTTCAGGACGAAAATGCGTGAGGCACTGCATTACCTGTTAGAAAACTTGTGTTCTCTGAGAACTGCTCAATAGGACGGGAATTAATCCCAAGCTGAGTTGTGTACACACATCCCATAGAGTACAGAAGGCTTCAAGTATTCTGCCAGAGATTGAGGTGGAGTGAAAAATACTTTGAGATGGACTTTTTTTTAACCTTTTTTATAAAGTTGTTAATTTTGGTTTCTTAAGATATTAACTCTTACTGTTCACTAAGCACAAACTTTAATTATTACAAGTTTATTAGATACTGGAATGGTATTTTTCACATTGTATGCTTGATTTGCAAGGATGCAGTGCGGTGAAATCTTTGTTCTTGATCTCCAAACTCATTAAACATAGCAGCAGAATATAGAAATACTTAATGAAATTATTACAATGCAGGTCTTTTGTGAAATACTTCTGCTCTGCTCTGAGAAAAGTGTTGTGTCCTATTTTCATCCTGTTTTTTTCCATTTAATTGCTTCCAAGAAACTGTTTAACTTAATAGGTAAAATGGACAAATTTCAGATAGTAATTTTATTAAAAAGTAGAATTTTTAGATTAAGCAGAATAAGTTTTACATTGTTCTGAATTTGGCAAATACTTCTATTTGAAATTTTACCTTGACTTTCATTCTGACTCCAAAAAAAAAGATTTTTTTTGAGAAAGAAAATGAAGATAATTATTTGTATGGTACTCCTTCCTGGCTAACATATCTGTTTTTTCTCTGCTAGGTTGAAGACTGACAAAGCTTTGCGTTTGAGTATCATTGGTGAGCAGAAACTTCTGTTACTGAATACAGTACTCAACTTTTTAGCATAGATTTTTACGTTCACAGATTTTTTACGTTTTACCAACTTTATAGATACTCTAGTTAGAGTTTCTTTCTCTATAATCTGACCCTGTAATCTTAAAATAGACTTTGTTGAAATGCTAAAATACCTGACATGTTCATTCAAGTAGTATATACAGGGTGAACTTGGGGCTGAGTATAGCCTAGTCTTTAGTGTACGTGACAACAGGGCAATATAGACCAAGTGTCTGTTTTGTACATCTGTACATGTATTTATTGTACTTGTCTCCATGCTTTTTTTAATCGCTTGTAAAAGAGGATGATATATGTACATCAACAGACACATTGTGCTAGCAAGTAAATTCAAAATTTTGGGACACAACCTGGAATATTTTTTTTCTCTTTCATATGATTGATACTGTACCTTTTCAATTTAATCTGTTTAAAAACTGTGATGATCAGAACTCTTGCTCAGCCATTGTGGGTTTTTTTTCCCCCCTTGGGGCCCTCCTAAGTTTCCATCTTAAGTAATTGATCCAGTGATATTTTAAACAAAGCATAGCATCTTTTTTCTGTAAGGAAGACATAAAATATATCTGAAATGGTGTAAGAATGTTTCTATTACAGCTACCTTCATACCTGGTACACACAGTATCAGTGAGTCTATGATGCCATTCAAAATCTTGAAAAATGGGGGGTTATTTCAAAAATGTTGAAGAACTTTGATCTGTGTTGATGCTACAGTGATGATGTAATCATTAATGTTAAGTTTATTCTTGTAGGAGAAAAATTGCAATGGTTTCAAAGTCACCTTGACCCCAGTAAAATTGAGTACACGAAGAAGGAAGCTGGTGAACTAATTGAAAAGTAAGACTGGTGTTAAAAACAGCATTAAAAAGCTTGATTTGTCTTTTAAAATAATGTTCTTAAGATCTGTAAAGTGGTGATGACTCAGAGAAGGACTTCTTGTATATTACTATTAATATCAAATAGTTGATTTTGTTGCAACTGACGTTAATTATATATTGAAAGATGTATATATTCACACTAGAATTGCTGAAGTAAGTTGTGTTGTTTGGGTTTTTTTTATTATTTAAGTATATCTGCTTTTGTAGTGTGTGGAGGACTCTAAATGATTTGCACAGTAGTAATTGCATGAATTTGCTAGTCAGGTTATTCAGAGACACTTAAATACACAGATTTCATTCTACTTACTCCTTTATTCTTTAATTTTCTTTGCTGAGGTTAAACAGTACTCAGGTGGGTCAATTTTTAGGGCAGAAAATATCAAAATTGAATCTGCTAAGAAGGAACTCAATTATTTCTGTGCTGCTGAATGTATGTACCTGTAGCTTGTCAAAATTTTTCACCTGCTAGCTAAATAACATAATATGTATGTATGTATTCTTACACAGGTGTACTATATCAGTTTCCTTTCAGAAGCTCTGACATATTTCCTACACTTCATGAAACCTGTAAACTGCTAATGAACGCTAGGGATACTGCAAAGGCAATAAAGGCTTACTTCTTGGATTTGGGTTAGATGTTTGTGAGATGATGTAGAACGCATGCCAAAGAAGAACTTTACTTTAAAAATTATTATTGAGGTGGTGAAATTCAGCAGTTAAGTTAGGAATACTTAGATTTAACACTGGTCTTCCAGAGCATGTGAGTTGTTATAATAATGTGTTTGTTTTTTTGTTTTGTTTGTTTGTTTTATGAAAACATAGTTTAAAAAAAAAAAAGGCAAATAAAAAAACCAGTGCTTCTGTAAGCTGCAGATGATTCAAATGAAGTTCTAAATGGAGCTTCCACTTTGAAGATGAAAGTAATAGTTCAAATCTAAGAAATATCTCTGACTAATTTAGAAAATAAATACAATTAGTAAAATAACTTCTTAGATTACCAAAGTAATTCTGTTTTGCATGATTGCATCTAGCATAAATGCATTTTATTTCTTTCAGTTATATGTGTCGATTTAATGCTGAATTGGAGCAGATTGAATTACAAAACAGTATTAAAGGTAGACAAGGAAGACAGCATGGTTCACGGGAGACTGTCATCAAGCAGACCATAGAACGTGAAAGACAACTCTATGAAGGCTATGGAATAGGTATGTAAAAACACTAGAAATAATCCTGTTGTCACATCTCCTGCTCACAAGGCTAGAATCTTAAGTGAAATTTCTAGGCGTTATCTTTATTTTTCTCTTCAAAGGAATTAACTAACTGCTAGGTATATATGCCTTGCGGAGGAGTTTGGGAGAAGGGGCAGGGTGAAAAAAAGGGAAAAAAGATGGTGGAGATCTGGCTCATGTTTCTGCTTTACTACTTTGCCTTTGTGCGTCTTTGCTAGTACTGCCTCAGTGCAGGCATATATAACATATTTTTGAAACTAAAGTGGGATTTAATGCACCTGCCTCAAATACAAATTCTGTTCAGCAACTTGCTTGGACTTTCATTATATACAAAGACTTTTTTATCTTAAAAATGCACTTTAGTGGGTGTGCATGTTTTAACATGCATTAGCATGAAGACTTTATTTGCTCCTGTGGGGAATAACCAACATCACTTTCTCTACAAATTAATTACTTTTTTTAGGTGGGCTTCATTATCTGGACTTGTGCCAATGAAGTTTTTATACACAGCTTCCTCTAACATTCTTTCGATAATATATAAACTTACTGTTAGGGATAAACCTGTGGCCTGACTTGCCCCTTTCCACTGAGGTGGACCCAGTGGCATGAGGAACTTCAGCAAGTTTCATGTCATGAGAGAGAGGGCTTTAGGTTTCATGAACTTGGAGAACCAAAGCCTCTGAACTTACGGGCCTAAAACATCTTCAGAAAGAGACTCTTCATTCCACTAAGGTTGAGAGTGTTTCATGTGGGAGAACGATTGCAGCAGAAATTGTAGTACAGATGTATTTCCAAAATGTGAGTATTTCTGGAGTTTTCCTATTAAAATTTAGGTAATCCAGGAAGAAATCTTGGGCTATTTTGACACATCTACTCTACAGGCTCTTTTCTATGGGCATAATGATAACCCGCAAGTAGAAAAACACATTTTTCCCTCTTGTTCTTCTCAGGCAGAGGAGCTATGCTTCTTTCTTTGACTTACTGGAGATGGTGGTGGAGGGAGTGAAAGTGCTCTGTGTGTGTGAAGGCCCTAACACTTAACCTCTTAATAAGCAAAAACCCACAAAACCTCCAAAGATGTAAAATTTAAAATCTTCTAGATAAGAGCCTAGTTGAAAGCAGTTTGAGTTTTTAAACATTTACCTTGGCCATTATCACAAGTTTGAATAAAATCATAATGCCAGATATTCTCGTTGACTTTATTACCATTTATCTTTATCTGGGGTAGCCATCTATGCCAGCAGATCATCTCATGAAATCTGAGGAGCATCATGTGTGAAAACCACAACATAAGCATCACAGCTGAAAATTTCCTCTTACGGTGCATAGTTGTCTTTAAGAAGAAACACTTAAACTCTTTTTCAAAGTACTTTTGGTTTTGGAGGTAGCACACAGATGCAGGCTACATGTGAGAAAGAAATAAAAGACTGAAAATTTGATAGCTGGAACTAGGCTGAAGGGAAGCAGCAGTGATCTGGTGAAATAAGGGAGAAAGACAAAGGGATAACGAAAGTGCAAAAAGCAAAGAGTTGTTTTGAGGAGAGTCAAGTATAAAATAGTAGTGAAATTTATGTATTTTTCTTTAACAAATAAGCACGTTGGAGTTGAGCGATGAACTTGGCTTTAATGCTAAAGAATTAATCAAAGGCAGTCAGTCCTTCTAACAGTGAAAGTGCATCATGGAAGACATGAAAAACCTATATTGTTCTGTGGTTAGGATACAAAGCATGGCAAGGTTTGGGTCGTGTGTCATATTCCCTTTCCCCCTAATTTATATTTTACCAATAAAGAAAATGAATGGCTCAAAATTTTGCCAGCGTTACTTAGTATTTTCATATCCTGCAATGGCAGAGGAATTCAGGAATAGCTGTGTGACTTCATGTGTAATATTTGCTTTCTTAAAAAGGGGGGGGGGGGAAGTCATAGAAGGTAGATACTATGGATGTCATCAAATAGCTCAATTGTAGAAAATCTCCTTTTTGGTTTTGCTTTTAAATTCTAAGTTAATTTAATTTTAAGTTAAATTTTAGGTCTTCCTTTTTTCCCCTACTGCTTTGTGGAAAGGTGACAGAAAAAAAGCAATAGGATTAGAAAGAAAGAGTCAAATGCACAAGCACAACATAAAAATAAAGAAGAATCCAGAAATATTGTAAGCAAAATTTGAGGTTATTATAGTATTAGTAAGTAAAGCATTCAGAGAGCATGGTGCAACTTCACATATTAAATACAATCTCAAATCATTCATTATTTGTTGTCACAGCTGCTGCAGGTTTTTGCTCTCTGTCTAGGACAGTATTCATTCAGAGAAAATAGTTGCTGCTAAATACTGTAATTAGAGATTGGGGATAAATGGAAATCAGCTGGAAACTGTTTTTAAGC